ACTGCACAGCTATCCCACACTGTGTGCTGTTTACAGTTCCTGGCTCTCATGAATAGTGTCACACTGCACAGCTATCCCACACTGTGTGCTGTTTATAGTTCCTGGCTCTCATGAATAGTATCACACTGCACAGCTATCCCACACTGAAGGATGTGCACTGTTTACATTTCCTGGCTCTCCTGAATGATCCTGTGGCCACTGCTTCAGTTCTCTTGAGAATGTCCCTGGGAGAAGAGCTGCAGGGTCATATGGTAACTGTTTAAGGAATTGCCAGATTTTTTTCCAAAGTGGCATCACCAATTTTCTTGTTTACCCACAGCCAAAGAGGCTCCCAATTTCTCCACATCCTCACTAATACTTAGGGTGTTTGTTTCATATTATAACCACCCTAGGGGTACAACCAGTATTGTGTGGCTTTCACCTGCAGATCTCTAATATCTAACAATGTTGGTCTTCTTTGCATATGCTTACTGGAAATCCGAGAATCTTTGAAGAAATGTCTATCCAAGACCTCTGTCTACTTAAAAAGATATTTACACAGGTGTGGTGGCACACACCTTTACTCCCAGCACTCGGGAGGCTGAAGCAGGAGGATTTCTGTAGGTTGAGAGCCTGGTATATAGAGAGTTCTATGACAGCCAGAGCTACATAGAGACCTGTCACAAACAAACACACAACTCAGTTGTTAAGATACCCCATGTGGGTGCTGGGAACTAAACTCACATTCTCTAGAAGAGCAGCAAATGCTCCTTTAAAAAAAAAAAGTTTCTTTGTACAGCCCTGGCTGTCCTGGAATTCACTCTGTAGACCAGGCTGGCCTCGAATTTACAGAAACCCACCTGCCTCTGCCTTCCAAGTGCTGGGATTAGAGGTGTGAGCTACCATGCCTAGCTTGCTCCTAACTACTGAGTCATCTCTCTAGCCTTTTTGTCTATTTCAATTGGGCTTTTATTTTTCTAAAAACAGGTTCCTTACCAAACTATGTACAAATACTTTCTCCTATTATCAGTTAGTATATTTTTTATTTTCATATTTATTTTTTATATATTTTGAACTTTTGAAAAGTTCAGTTTTGATGATGCCCAAATAACCTATTCCCCCTTGTGCTTATTCTGCTTTTGATGTCGTGTGTAGGAGACTATTGCTAATCCAAATGTATGAAGACTGACACCATGTTTTCTTCTAAGAGGTTTCTAGTGTTAGCTCTTACACTGAGGTCTGTGATCCAGGGGGGTTATGCATGGCATGAGGTAGCCTCACTGTTCTGTATGAAGACATCTAGCTGTGTCAGCACTGTCTTCTCTATGACACTGCCCTGTCATCCTGGTTGAAAGTCAGCTGACTGTGTGTGAAGGTTCACCTCCGGACTCTGCATGTATTCAATCCCTTCAGAACATCTGTCCTCATCAGGAAGTAGATTTGGTTTTTATTCTGATTGTTGGGCTATTATATGCCATTTTTTTTTTCAAAGAAGAGGTTCTGAGATTTTTGAGGACTGCATTCTATGAATCAATTAGAGGGGACTGTCATCTTAGTAATACAGCATTCAGATCAATAAACATGAGCCATCTTTCCACTGATTTAGGTCTCTGATTGCTCCAATCCTGTTCTATAGTTTTCTGAGTGCTTTGTGATCTTTCACAGACTTATCCCTAAGGGTTAATTAAGGTCTTTCAAACTGTCACTGGAATCAAATTGTTCCACTTTCACTTTCAGAGTGTGTACTGCGGATGCGTAAACATACACCTGACTGCCCTCACAGGTGCCTTGCTGGACTCCGGACTGGACTCCAGACTTTTCCTAGTAGTTCAGGGGCATCCCTAGCATTTCTACAAACAAGGCCATGCCACCTGGGAGAGAAGGAGAGCTTTCCTTCTGCTCTCCAGTCTGGATGCCTGTTGTTTCATTTTCTTTTCTAACTAACTGCCCTGGCTAGAACTTCCCAAGGTGCAAGGCTAGACTCCGATCTGAGAAGGAAAACTCAGTCTTTCTTCATCGTATCTACACTGGTTTTGAAGATCTTTATCACTTAAATTCCCACTCTACAGACAGCTTCACACACACACACACACACACACACACACACACACACACACACACACACGCCTTTTTTAGTCTTACTATGTAGCCCAGATTGACTCTGATCTCAAGATCCCCCTGCTCCTGCCTTCCAAGTTCTGAGACTGTTTTCGTGGCTTTTTGTGCTTCACCAACCAGTAAAAGTTTTGTTTTGTTTTGTTTTTAAATTAGAATAACATTTTGGGGGAAAACCAGACAGGGTCTATGTAGATCTGGTTCTTCTGGAACTCTCTATGTGGACCAGGCTTGTCTTGAACTCACAGAGATCCTCCTGCCTCTGCCACCTGGTACCACCAATTCTTGCTATTTTATTTGTATTTGTGTGTACAGGACTGTGTTCCTATCAGGCGCCTGGAGGCCAGATGAGGCTGTCTGGTGTCCTGTTAGCATTCTCTGTCTTACTTCTGAGAAGATCTCTCAGTGAACCTGGAGCTGGATAGGCAGTGAACAAGCCACAGAGATCCTCTTGGCTTCCCCTCCCAACAAGGTCCTGATGCAGGCATATTACCCAGATGCTGGGATTTGAACCCAGGTCCTTCCACTTGTTCAACAGGTGCTGTTACGGCTGAGCCATCTAATTTTGTCAAGAAAGGGTGTTTAAACCTAATAGTTTCTTATTAAAAGAGGCATTTTGACACAAAAACAGGGCAAGTTAAAATAAAGATTTTGTTCAAGCTTTAGTAACACAAAAATCTTGCTACATACTTATCTTTACTCTTCTAACTTCAACAGTGTGGCTGCAGTGGGGCCAGCTACTGTGGAGAATAGGAGAGAGGAATCCTTTACTAACTCAGGAATAAAAGAGTTTCTTCAGCAGGCCTCCCTCATGACCAGAAAAACACTCAAGTTGATCAACCACCATTCTGGAACCTTCAAGGTAGCATGGGCGAGACCCCACAGATCTGATGTTTCTCTGTGGCCTTCAGCAGCCATCCCGAACTACTGGCCACTTGGGAAGAAGTAGCTGTGCTCACGGTGAGATCAGGCTAAGAACAACAGATCCAATAACTGCATCTGCAATGTTTGCTGCCCAACCAAATATAAAATGCAAGGACCTGTGCCTCTGATGATAAAAATGGGCCCTTACTGCTTTAACGAGGGTGCTTTCTTTCCCAGCTGTCATATTTTTGGCATAAACTTTGTCTATTTCCTATACACAGGTAAAGAACAGCCTTTTAGCTGGGCAGTGGTGGCGCACACCTTTAATCCCAGCACTCGGGAGGCAGAGGCAGATGGATCTCTGTGAGTTCAAGGCCAGCCTGGTCTACAAAGCGAGTTCCAGGAAAGGCGCAAATCTACACAGAGAAACCCTGTCTCGGAAAACCAAAAAAAAAAACAAAACAAAAAAACAGCCTTTTATTGCTCCTTTCTGTGTTCTCAAGCAAGCACAGGAAGCCTTGCTACAGCACTTATCACTGTATTTCTACATCTGCATCATCCAGTAGTCCACATGGTCCAGAAGCAGCCAGATTCACTGTTTTCATTTTTAGCATCCATCAGAGGGCCTTCTGAATGGAGAGCCAGGAATAATTTCAGACTTTGTAATTAAACTATAACAACATTTAGGATCTAGACTATGACACTAGCTCGTCTGCCTATTCATGTGAGTGAATTCACATCACCCTGGGCCTTTTCCATCACCATTCATCTCTAGTTCAGGACAAGAATGTCTAGGGTTGGAGATGAGGCTTAGTCAGTCGAGTGCTTGCCTAGGACATTTGAGGCCCTGGATTCAATGCTCGACACCATAAAAAACCAAGTGTGGTGGTGCATACCTTGTGAGAAACCAGCTCCTAACTTTTAAAAGGGTTCCTACGAGGAGGAGAGAGGGATAAGAAACTTTTAGATAGAAAGATAGCAAAGAGGAGAAAGACAGAA